TGGCATCAATTCTATGGCAGGTTTGAGGGTTCCTTTGATGAATATATTTATAGTAGGCAGGCATTAAAGTTTGCCTTAAAAATTCATTCTCAAAATGTGTTTGGTTTGTCATTTCCAATTCTGTTGAGGTAGGGGCCTGGAGGTGATAGACCTGCCAGGAATTAAGCACATTATTATGCCACTTTATTTAAAAATTGCTTGAAATGCCTATGGAATTTGGTTGAAATCTACACCCATGAGCAAAGGTTAATAATTTGTTGTGAACTGAAGGAATCTGGCAAAGGTCAAAACTTCCTCAGGAAACTGAAAGGTCATGGTCAGCCTCCAGGAATACTACTTTCCTTAGATTCCCTAGGTCCTAGAAAGGAGATAAGTTAGGTACTTGGGAGCCTGGGGTTAATTCTCCAGAGAGAGGAATTATCATATCCCTCACTCAAGGTTGTCTTCCATCTGTTGGGCCAGGTGTTGTGGAAAGTCACCTGAAGGAAGGAGGGAGAATTGAAAATAAATGTCTGACTCTGTGACCCAAGTTCATATTTGGGAAAGCAGGATCGTCAACTAAGGATACAAGTTGGGCCACAAGAAGAGCATTTTAGGTAACATCTTAAGACTCTTGTTTTCAATGCCTGAGATGGGGAGCTATAAATCCAGAAGAGGTGGAATCACCTAGGAGGGGCTGGCCAGAACAGCCCTGCCTTCAGAGGAAGGGCCTTTCTACTTGAGGCCTAAGTAGTTATGAGTGCAGGTAAAAACTGACAGAATAGGTGGTTAGCAACAGAGACTGCCACAGCCAGGAGAAGAGAATAGATTTGGCTAGCAGCACCTGCACAAGATTCACTTAAGTGACTAGAGCTGTGGAGACTCCCAGATGACTGTGCTCCATATCCAGGTATATATGACTGCCCGATCCCTCAGAATTCTGAAAATCAATGTTTTCAGAAATGAACTTGTTGCCCAAATTAACTTTTCTTTCTGTATTCTCTAGCTCTGTTGGAGGCTAGCCCAGCCATCTGCCTAGTCAGCCTGTCTATCAATTCTCACATCCAATCAGACAAACTCCTTCATCTTTCCATTCCCCATACTCCAAGTCTGCCACTACTGCCTTGGGTTAGGCCCTTTTGTTTCTCTAAATTCCACATAGCTATACAAATCTAACTAGATCACTCCACTGCTAAAAAGTCAGTGGCTTCCCCATTCCTGCCTATGGAATAAAGAGTAAGCTCATTCACACAGCAAACTAGTGTGCTGGTAAACTACTTCTATTCTTAATAATGCCCTAATTTGTAGTGTTTGCAATTTCCATAGTGTAAGTACTCCCATCATGGACAATTTCAAGCTATCAGAGTTTAACAGCCAGATAAGAAAATTTCTGAATATTTAATAAGTGGCTCCTAGTTGGCTCTAGTACACCAAGTGCATCAAGCCCTTGAGTATGTGATGCCTTCCCACTTTTCACTGGCCAATCCTTTGCTAAAACTTTATGCTTCAGGTTGTGGTTGTAGCTGTTTTCCTGTGCATTCTAGGCTGTTTTCCACATGCATGCTTTCATCTTTGTTGGCTGAAATTATTTCCATAGCACTTCCTTTTCACCTTCCCTCAGGGTAAAACTCTTATCTTGCTAAATTCTTCCATTCCTTCAGGACCTGGCTTAGATAGACCCTCAAGGAAGACTTCTTTCCTTTACTCTCCCAGTCTTAATTTGGGTATCCCAGAAGCAGGCCCTGAGATGAGGTTTCACATGCATTTATTAGTAGAGGGAAAACTAAGAGAGGGCTGGGGAGTGGGTCTGGGAAGGGAAGGAGGACAAACCAGACTGCAAACTCACCATGGAGAGTAACCTTGGCTCCTTCCCATGGATGACTTTTAGAGACACTGTAGGATACACATCAGAGTTATCTTCATCAGGGGCAAAGGGGCTTGTGTGCTTGAATCCCCACTCCTGGCAGTCACAGTGCTGCCTCTGGTGAACTAAGTTCCCAGACACTTCAGCTCTCTGTGCATGTGCACAGGCAATATGGGCTCCTGCAGCCTGAGAGCTATCCTTCAACAAAGAGACAGAGTGCTGGCTGCTGGGAGTAAAAGCAGCCTGAACCTGATGTGCACAAAAATGGCAAAGGGGTCCCAGGAGATATGTGTGGTGCACTTATAGTGTCTGTCACATCCCCCACTCTCCAAAACATACATGTATATATGAGGGGACACACACACACACACACACACACACACACTTCATGCTAGTTTGTTTTCCCTTCTTCAGTATTCTGTATCAGCTATATTACTGCAGGTTTTAGAATAATTTCTTCATGTATTAGTGTCATTCATTTTATTGTGATCACCTTGAGGATAGGAATCATTTGTCTTTGCAGTACAGTGTGAAGCACACAATAGGTGCTTAATAAATGTGTATAAGAGCACTAGAGAGGACACCATGATGGAAACACAAATAGAAGTAGGTGGGGTTGGGAAGGGCCATGGGTAGAAAAGAGTCTCAAAGGTTAGATGTAAAGCTAAGAAACACTGATCTTGGAGGATAACCTAGGTCTTAAGTATTGTCCAACAGCACAACCCACCGTGTGCCTGCAAAGACAGCAGTAACATGAAATAAAGTTGGTAATACTGGAAAATGGTTCTCCAGAACACCTGTGGACTAGCTTTCTGCTATTTTTCCTTTCAAGAAGCATTCTAAATTATCAGGAACAATTAGAAATTATAGGTAAAATACTGGCATTATAGAAGAAACTATGCCTGGCATCCATACCAGAGGCTAGAAGAGGTTGAATGCATTGTTCGTAGGGATTCCCTGAAGTCTGATTAGTGTCTAAGTACACTTCAAACTACAGCTCAGCTGCTTGTAACATGTAATTATGGATGTTACTAGCATGTCTAATTTGACAAATAAGGTAGAGGGCACACATGAAGCAGGAGTTGTACCATTTGGCCAATATGTCCCCTGCTGCAAAGTTCAGTTTTGCACTGCCACCAGGACCATCTGTGTATTACAAACAAAACCTTATAAAGATGACAGATTTTCAGAAAATAATGAGAGAGTAGTATTTCTTGTCCCCCTTCATCAAATTAATAGTTCATTGTAATTGGGTAAACTACACTGTACACAAGGAGAAGCAAATTCTAATTACCATTGTTAAAAAAAAAACACTCACCCTCTGCTCTAAATATTGAGGATGCTTATTTCTTGCCAATTCTGTTCTCTTGGAATTCAAGGCATGTGAACCAACTAGGGGTAATTGGTGGGCATTTGAGTGGCATGAAATTCAAGGAGAACAAAAGGAGGTATGATAATTATCTGGGAAAAATTATAAATATCTTGATAAGACTAAAAAGTACAAAAGAGAAATCTGAGATTAGACCTAAAATAAATTACAATATTGCTAAAGGATTTTGATAAAACAACACTACTTTAGTAGAAATCCATTATCTCCTTTGCCCCTGGTCTATTAGTGACCTTGTCAATTTCTCAAGCACTCAGGCGATCCATCTCTTTTAGCCCCTCTATCTAGCTATGGAGGTCCTCTTTCTTAATCCTTCAGAATGTCACGTACACAAATCTGGCCTTGGGACAGATGGCTAAAACATGCTTTGATTGGATTCAGGGGCCATAATTGTTGTGGATTTGTGAAGTGGTTTGGTCTTTAAAGAGTACACAAATTCAACGTTCTTGCAAGAGGATGCCAAATCTATTGGTTGACACCTACAGGCTTAAAGGAATTGGTTGGACAGACATTAAACCAGTTTTAATGTAGGTTGGCAGAGGGAGCAGGAAGAAGAAAGGCAGGAGCAGAGATAGGATGTTGGCAGCAAAATATCTATTTCACTCTTTTGGTGAGGTCTAGTTCCTTGTGTAACATTCTATCCTGGCTTATTCTTTTCAAGATCACATTCTGCTATCCTTTCAAATAAATCCATCAACCTGTCCAGAGATGTTGGACTAACTGATCTCCTTACTTCCCTCAGCCCCTTTCATCAGTTAATCCCCATGTTAAATCTGATATACCTCTGGTTCTTTAGCTGGGCCCATCTATAAGACACTGGCTAATAAAACCAAAAATCGTGGTTTTAATCTAGAGCTGTCACCCACCCCACCCTGAGACAATTCCGTACTCCCACCCTCAGTTTCTTGTCAAGTCCCCACTACTTCTTGCCTTTCTGGTCCTAGGTACCTGACAATGCATCACTCTTCTCCATCTTGTACTTTTGTGCTCCTGTGTTTCTTCTGGCATTCATATCTTGACACCCCTTTTCCAGTTTCAGTTTTGCTTACTATTGGCCTCAGAAGTGCTCCCTGTTGTCTGCTCTAGCCCCCATCCCTGCATCTTGAAGGAAAGAAAGGAGAAGATGTTCTTGTCTAATTCCCACTGCAAATCTGGGAGCTAATTCTGCCAAAAAATCCATGTGACATTTTAGTGAAAGATTGAAAAGCATGAGAGGAAGAGGGCAGTGTGCAGTGACTGGCCATGTTGAAACACCCATCTTTATAATTAGAGCCATTCTCCTTGTATCACTTGCCTTTTGACCTCTCAGTACAGGGTATATTAGCTCTTATAAAGTGTTGTTGCTGGCTTGCTTTCAATATTCAGAAAAAGTTCACATTTTCCTGGTTAGTATTTGTAGCTATGTTGAGTATCTTCTCAACCTGTTTCCCATTAAGAATAGAACTTGATGAAAATTACTTTCTCAAGAGAGAGAATCTTGAGTAGTGCTTCTCACACCTAGGAACCCACATAGAGCACCTTGAGGGTTTTGTTAAAATGCAGATTCTGATTTTGCAGGTCTAGGGTGGGGCCTGAGATTCTGCATTTCCAACAAGCCCCCTCCCCTCTCCCCCAACTCTCCTGCTGGTTCAGGAACCACACTTTGAGTAGCCAGGATCTAAATGTCTCTTGATGTTGGCCTTTGCAGCAATGATTAATGAACAATAATTCAGTTTACAGAGGTTGTGCTTAACACCCAACATTCCCCACAAGCATGTATACTCTATGTACCTCATTTTGGAAGAGATCTAGTAGAACCATGGATCTGCAGGCAGATAATGGCCAAGTGGTGAATATCCTTGTGTATCTTCTTAGAGATCTCTACTGATGGATCTGAGAAAGAGGAAGGAAGATCACAATCTTGAACCAGAACCATTTCTGTCTGTAGGGATATTTTAGGTTGACATTGCCTGGAGAGTTAGAGCTGAACTAGCAGCTTCCTCAGGGTAGGTGTTCAGGTGTTTTGGATCTGAGACCCTGATAGATACAGAAATAATCAATACCAGCAAAACCTTCCTAAATACAGCTTTCTTTCTAACTGTAAAAGCACTCATGTGTAATTAACATTGGTGGCAAACAAGTCAGGGACTATTTCTCCTCTTCTATTTTTGATCACTCATTTCCCCCTGCCTGGCGATGTCTTTCGATTTCAGCTGTTGATGCTGTATCACAGATATTTTCAAAGTCACTGCAGAGAACCTAGGAAATCCTACCTACGTTTTTCTAGCAGAAAAATTAGCCTTAGGCATAACTGCCTTTGTAACCCTGTCTGCTGAATATACAGGAGAAAGCAATGGAAATATCAGGAGAAGGCATGAAATGACCCAGAGCTGGCCACAGGGCTCACCTGTCATGACACTATTATAATCAGCTGTCTCCACATGGATCTTCCTATTCCCTCTTTCCTTATCCCATTCCCATCTCCTAGAAACATTTCTCTTTTATCTTCTTGAGCTTTAGCAGATGGTGCAGTGGCTGGAAACTAGCTCAATGAAAGTGTGATGAGAATGTCAGGCTTTTCCTCCCAAGTCACTGATGAAGGTGCCTGAGTTGTTTGAAGTGAAGTGCATCAGTCAGCCCCAAAGTGGAGAGTCCTCCCTTTTTTCAGCATTATCAACCACTGTTAAGAAGGTGCCTCATAATGGTTTAACATTTTTGTTCTCATATGCAGGCTCATACTTACCATTTAATGAACTAGTTCTCCCTGCTGAAGCTTGAACTAGTAGAAAGCAATAGGTATAGGAAATAAAAAAAAAAAGAAAAATCTCTTTAGATTGGGGATGGCCAAAGCTTAAGTTCAGAAACTTGGAGTTTCAGGGAGTTTTCCTGACCCAGCTTTCAAAATTCTAGGTGTGATTTAATATTTTACCTTATCCTCTCCCTCAAGGCTGCTTTCTCTGTTTTTCTTTTTCTCCCCACGCTTTAAGCAGGAGACTGGGGTAATGTGGGCTCAAAAACATTTAGTTGATTATTTTCCATGACCACAAAGTCAGTGGGAGATGCCACAGGGTGGCAGTACCCAAGAAATTCCCAAGTAAGCAGACCCTGTTTAACCCTGATTCTTCCCTCATGAGCTTATATTTTGTCTGATGCACAAAACTTCTGCTGAGATCGTTGTTCCCTGCCTAGTTGCCATCTAATTCATTATGATCCGACAATTCTATTATAATATCAGTACCGTGAGGAGTAAGTCCCAGGGCAACCAGGAGTGGTTCCGTCTTTGGTAAGATCTCAGGTTTACTTGCTTAATCTCCAGCAGAAGCTTTTGGCTTATCTCATTGTTAGAGCCACAAGAATGCTATCTTTCTGTAGCATTACAGTTGATTTTTCTAGATACTTCTGACCCATACATTTCCTCCCAGGGCTACTTTACTTATACTAATTAACCTTTATACATTTCTCTCCTTTAATACACTAAAACTCCTATTCATGTCTGCATTCAGTAATATACATTTGGAATCCATCTTGGACTTTCAGGAGAAATACCACTCCTTACAGCATTGTCCAGCCCTGACATCTATTGTGGGGCCACCTAGCCTCATAGATCTGCAACTCAGAAATAATTCATGCATCTGACTACTGAGTTTGTGAGCTTCCCGAAGGAAAAGCCTGTATTCTCTTCAGTCTGTCTCCTATACTATGCTAGCACTGTGAACCCTTGTTTTTGTTCCCCCAGATGAAAATGGCTCTATTATTTATCTCATTATAAAAATAATTCATAGCTAGCATAAAACATTCAAACAGTACAGATTAGTATATTGAAGTAAGGATAATAGTACCTTAAATTTCACCACTTGGAGATGAATACAGTTCACAGTCTTCCAGACCTTTTTCTATGCATAGACACAATTTTATGCAATTGGAATGCACTCTTTTGGCCAGATAATACATTGTTATATCAGCAAGTACAGATATTGAAATAGGTATTTATTTACATTGGATTGAATTGCAATATGAACAGAAGCTAAAGGCTGTTTGTAATTTCTTTACTTTTACCTTTTGTTCCAGGGCCCCCTCCCCTATTTCTTTCCTCTTCATTTCTTTCCTTCCTCTCTAACCAGGCTCCCCAGCAGCCCCTGAGGGGCAGCTTTGGCTGGGGCAGTTGCCAGGGAGAAGAGAAGGAAGGAGGTGCAGGTGGTCAGGCAGCAGGAGGCACGTTCCATGCTGTCACTTCCAGGAGAATTGGCCCTCTCTACTCCTGCCAGGTGGGAGTTGAAATGACATCAATTTCCCTTTTTATACCATCTCCTTATTTTCTCTACTCTCTCCACCCTTTGCCTCCTTCCTAGGCAGCAGAAGGGAGGTACTTGGAGAGAGGTATCTGCACAATTGTTAAGCTCCTCAGGCGATTCTGATTTAGGGGGTGCACAGCAACTCTTTGAGACATGCTGCGCTACTCATTGCAGACCAGGTGCAGCTTATGGCTGAATAGGAATCACCTGGGGAGATGGTTAATAATACAAACTCCTGCCCATCATTCCTGGAGATTCTGATTTTGCAGAGGCGGATGTGCCCCAAGACTTTGGGTTTGTTTGTTTGTTTGTTTATTTATTTATATTTATATTTAAAAAATTTTTAGCAAGATCTCTAAATGATCCTGAGGAGCAGCCAGGTTAGCCCATGCTCTACTTTCTGGATACTCACAGTGTGGTTCATGGATCAGCATCAGTATCATCATCATTGCCTGTTAGGAATGCAAAATCTCAGGCCTCGCACTAGGTAAACTGAATCAGAGCCTGTATTTTAACAAGAGCCCTGGATAAGTCGTATTTCACATGATAGTTTGAGAAGCACTGCTCAACCCCAGTTGTGGAATTAAACTGAAAACTCCATGACTTACTTGATTCCCACCTATTGATTGCTTGCTGGGTTTTCACAAAAAGTACCTACAACTTGTAGCAACATTTTCCTAAAAGATAAGTAGTACAAAGAACAGATAATTTAATGTTAAAGGAAATTCTCCACCATTTTAAACCTTGGCTTGTCTTTGATTTTATGCATGAAATCTTCATGAAAGAAATCAAGGTTGGCATGAGTATTTTATATCAAAGATTAAAATTGGACCATATTCTTCTCTTTAGAGTGATATGACATCTTAGCTTTTAAATAACAAAGCTCTTAGCAAAAAATTTAAGTGGTCCTAGGTAATGTTTCTGCCAACTTATGCACTGCCAATGTCCAGCCAATAACAACTGCATTTCAGGAGAACAAAAATAGCAATTCAACATCATTTTTATTAGTGAGCTCACTAGTTCCTGAGGATACATCATTTAGGGAAAACTTTGGCCTTCTATGGTGTTTATGAAAGCCTCTTGACTAGAAGTGTGATTCACCTAAATTTGTCCCAGAAAAATCACCCATAAGCATAAGCATGTTGAGCATTAAAGTTACTGTTTCATAAAGATACCACAAAGAAATACTTTATTTTCTCTCACTAATAGAAGATCATGGAATTATTTCTCCATTTAGTTTTGTTGCAAGGGTAAAACCTAAGTTTTTGATGTAAGCTGATCTTCAGGGCCCCTTACATTCCACTTCCAGGTTTTGTCCTTCAGGAACACCTTTTATTCATATAGTTCTTAAAGCCCATAACTTCTCTGTGCCTCTTGCTTGTCTTAAAACTCATTCCCCATATGATTTCCCAAACCTTTGTAACATTGCATCCGTTAGAGAAAGAAACCTATCTCTAGAACCATAACTCAAAAGGGTGCCCCTCATCTGGGATGTGGTAGGCTGACTATGGCACCATTAAAATGGCTCTGTAATGCCATCAACAAATTAGGCTTCTTTTATCTTCCTGCTCTACCATTTGTAGTATGTAGCTCTTGTCCTTGGTTTTGCAGTATGGCTGCTGTGCCTCCACTAATTGTGTTTATCTTTCATGAAGGAAGAAGGGAAAAGGGAAAGAGCCATTGTTTTCATAAGTCTTCCCTTTTTAACAAGCCATCTGGACAGCCCCTCCCAATGATTTCCACTTATATCTCAGAAACCAGAGCTGGGTCACATGACCAACCCTAGCTGAAATGGAATCTCACATTGTTACCCCTGACCTCCAAATTGGAATTCTGTAACCAGAAAAGATGGGAAAAATGGATATTAGGTAGACAATTAGCAAGACCTGCCACTATCACTAAGCCTTAGTTAACTCATAAAATATTTGTATTTTATGAGACTGACATGCTACCTACTGCGCTAACGAGGCACCTAAAATATTTGTATTTTAAAGGGGAACAAAGCCTTAAGTCAAAGAAATAAATCTTGGATAGCAGAATTTCAGGCCTTAGCTACTGTGCACTTGGTCTCTGTATCTAAGGATGAAAAATTCTATTGCATCTCAGCTCTCACTATGTAGAATATATGCCTACTTTGTCTGGGTGTAAGTTGGAACCTGTTTAGATAAGAAACCACACACTCCCAATATGAAGCTTAAATCCCCCTGGCTCAGCCCCAGCTGTGCTTTGGGAAGTGATGTTCCTAATTGGAGTCTCGAAAACAGAAAGATCCTCTCAAATCCCTGCTTTTATTTTGGAAAAGTGTTAGAATACTTATCTTGAATTGTGTTTTCTGTGGTTTCTGTGGTTCTGTGATTGTTTTAATCTGATTGAGATTCTAATGCAATCCATACACGCTTCATTTAAAAAAATGGCAACATGGGGGTGCCTGGGTGGCACAGTCAGTTAAGCTTCTCACTCTTGATCTCAGCTCAGGTCATGACCTCACTGTTCATGAGTTCATGTCATGGGGCTGTGCTCTAATGGTACGGAGCCTACTTGGGATTCTGTCTCTCCTTCTCTATGCCCCTCCCAGCTTTTGTGCGTACTCTCTCTC